GCAATATGGTATAAATTTGTTTTAAATAAATATTTTTTTTACTTTTAATAAATGTATTTTAATTATTATTATTTTAAGATTGTAGTAAAAAATAAATATATTATTTATTAAGAAACATACAAAAACAAAAGCTTTATTGCATTTAAATGGGATGTTTATTAACCCTATATGCAATAAAGCATTTATTTAATATAAATAAAACTGCTATATAAAAAATAAACTGTTTTCTCAGTGTAATTACGTGTTTCCATTTTTGAGGGAAATTAATTTTTTTTACGTTTTTTTTAGAAAAATTTGTTTAGCTAGCTTTACATATCTCCATTACTAATTTTAAATCCAAAATTTAATTCAATAAAAAAAGTTATAAAAATAATTTGAAATAAAATGTGCCTACACTGAGAAAACAGTTTGTTTTTTATAAAGCAGTTTTATTTATATATAATAAATGCTTTATTGCATATAGGGTTAATAAACATCCCATTTAAATGTAATAAAGCGTTTGTTTTTGTATGTTTCTTAATAAATAATATATTTATTTTTTACTACGATCTTAAAATATTAATAATTAAAATACATTTATTAAAAGTAAAAAAATTATTTATTTAAAACAAATTTATACCATATTGCATAAAAATAAAACCTGTTAATAATAAACAAATTTAAAGCAATAAAAATTGAATATTTATTTATTGTAAAACAATGAATTTGTTAATAAATAACAAATTTTAAATAATAAAAAATGTTTCAATATTTATAATAATAATGTATATAGTTGTTCTTCTAAATACGCCAATGTTATTTGTGTTTCCTGTCTTTAAGATCGGTCATTTGATTTTGTACAAAATGACTATTCAATTTCATGACTTAAAGTTGGTTCGTTTAAAGGGTTTGCTAATTAACGTTTGGAGTATGGACAACATTGGTTGGCCATCTTCATTTATTGTAAACAGCAGGTTGGTAGGAATCTTCTGTTAAAAAAACAACTGACGCCTCTTCTATTCTAAAATAAAAATTTGGAAATAAACAAAAAAATATATATAGCGAAGATCTCTTTAACTAAGAATATCACAACAGAATGTAATCATTGCAATGATGCATTAAAAATCACATTTTAGTTGCTACTTTGGAAGTTTGAACCTGATGGTAAATATTCCGTCATAAAGCTTTTCATTTATTAAAATCATTGTTAACATTTTAAAGAAGAAAAAAACTGTTATAAATTACCTTTACAATTGGACACAACATCACTTAAACCGAGATCGATAAGAAAGTCCTTTAAATCCATTTTTTACAGGTACTTCACTACTTCACAACATAAAACTAAAACTAATGATGCTTACGCGAGGGCGTGAAATAAGTAAATAACGTATTTTAGGGCATATTTAGCAAATTTTACAAAATATATTTATTAATAAAAAATGATTTATTATTTTTTACTTAACACAGCTTTATTGTAAACAAAACGTGTAACATTTAATAAAGAAAACATATTCAACAATAAACATGTATTTCTTACAAATGCATTATTTATTAATTAAAATTGTATCATTTGTTTTATGGAAGTTGGACAAAATATATTTATTTATTTAAAAATATGATTTATTTTTAATTAATAGATATATCTATGTTTTAAATGTATTAATCCGTTTGGTTTTTATAAAGAAATATTTATTTCTTTTAAGCAAACTCATTAAAACAATTGGCATATTAAATAAAAATATATTAATTTTGCCGTATTGAAATAATAAACAAATATTTGTTATTCAGAAACAATATTTTTTAATTATAACTGAAAACTACCAAATATATGATTTGTTTATTATAATAGTATGATTTCTCTCAGTGTAGTTCCCAAACTTTTGACTCCAATTTTTTATTTTATTTTTTATTAAAAATTGTATGATTTTTTTTAAATATGTATTTTCGTTAAGTTACTTTTTAAAAGAAACCATTCCGATTCTTTGTTAAAAAACAATACCATTAATATTTTCTTTTAGTCACTGTATTAGTGAATTAAACTCTAATTTATAAACACGTATTACCAAGTGATAGTGTATAAAAATTATTTTAAGTATTTTTTTTAACAAAAACTAAAAAAAGTAACGAAATAGACATTAGTATCACAACGGACAGGGGTACACAAAGGACTTAATCAGATAACGTAAAAAAGAAACTATATAGGGTGGTACGATTTTAGAGTAATCGCAGAATAACAACTTAGATTTCTAAATTGTAGACACCCTTTTTCTTTGACTATAAGCTGGTGAAGGTCCCTTTTAGTACTTTTATATTGCGTGGAATTTTTCCTTGGATGTAATCTATGTATATCATGAGTTGTAATTACAAATAATTTTAAATTGGTTAATCATAAACTACTTTTAATAAAAGCGTCGGTAAATATCCACTTTGTTGTCGAAAAATTCTATTGCGTTACCATAAGGTAACATAGCGGACTCGGTAACGCATGCCTTACACTGCAATGGACAAAGTTTTGTAAAACCATATTTAAAAAAATAATAATAAGATATTACAGTCATTAATTACTCTCAATGAGCTTTAGTGCCCTGAAATAACCATAAACATGAAAAATAGTATTTTTTCTTACCTTATTTTTATTATTTTTTTGAGTAACTTAGCGGACAAACAATTATTACATTCGCGTTACCCGCACCGATATCTTTTTCCTGATTAAATAAATAAATTCAGCTGGGTAATGTGTATGTCCGAACATCATTTGTTGATCACGTGAATACCAAAAAAGTTGCCATATATATGTTTTTTTTAATATTCTATCGGTAACGCGACGGACGTAACGCAACGGAAAAAATGTCTTGGACAAGAGTCAAATTTAAAAAAAGTAGATTAAAATTAATTATTTTATATATAAATTGTCTACTGTATTAACTAAGGATGTTATGGATTGCTATAAAGCAACACAAAGTTCTGGTTATTCAATATTAAAAAAACATGTATGTAAGTTTTATAAAACGCTAATGGGACATGCGAAAATGTGTGTTTCAAAAGTTTCAAAATTAAAAAAAAAATATTCCGAAATAACTAAACAAAAATTTTCTGAAAGAGTTTACTAAGGGCTTATTTGGCTTTTTAGGCGGGTGTTTTTTGAAAACGACCCATATATAAGTATACTTGCAAAATATAAAGAAAATCCTTCAGCTTTTATATACATGTAATCATTAATAAAACCTGAAGGATTTCCTTCATATTTTGCAAATATTTTTATCAATATTTAATATTTTTTTCTTTTTGTATTTATGTATTAATACACGTTGTTTTTTATAAGTTTACTAATTAATACTGTAACTAAATTTTTAAAATGGTGTCTGTTTTTTTTAAATAATTTCTCTTGTATTTTAAAAACGAGTAAAGGCATATCGTCGCCTTTAGGAGAAAATCACGTAACTCCGCATTTTCATTAAAATGGAATTTTAGTGGCATCTGTTAGATAAAACTGTAACTAATTTATATGCAAGTTACAGAAGTCCTTAAATAAACCGTTAATTTTAAATTTAGAAAAAGAATTAAAATTTGTTAAAAGTAAGTATGAAAGATTGTATAGTGTGTAAAGTTAAGGTACCATGAATAATTTAAGGTTACTTTTATTAACATAAAGTACATATTGGAGATACGTAATTTTCCATTAAACAATTTTTTTGGCGGTAATGTGGAGATTCACCAATACACCTTTAATAGGTTTTTCTTTCCTCCTGTAAAATTTTACTAAATGAAGGCGACGATATTTAAAAAAGCGTGTGAAAAAAGGGAATTTTTGAACATTTTCAAGGGAAATTTGCTTCAAAAGGGTTGACAACACTGATTTGACAGTTCAAATCAGTCTTATAAGTGTGTTTTTTGTTAAATTACATTTTGTGATGTAAAATTGGAAGAGAATGTATAATGTAGTGACCATTCATTTAGGATTTTTCGGGACAGTCCCGGATTTTATTAACATGTCCCGCAAGAGTCCCAGAAACGTCCCAGATTTTGCAGTTAATCACTATGTCTTTTTACGAGAAATCATAATTTCATTTGACAAAAATAAAAGAGAGTAGGGCCACGGTGGCGCAGTGGGTTGGGCGACTATGCCGAGACAAACTGCGTCCGAAGGTAGCGGGTTCGATTCCCGGTCACAGCCTTGGGTGTTGTGCGCGTTGAAAGTTTTTAATGGACTTCTTTTTGCAAAAGAGACCAAACCAACAGTTTATTTTCTTAAATCAATTTAATTTAATTCAATGTTAAGTTAATTTTTTTTTTGTAATAAAGGATTTTTTTAAATTAAAACAATGTTAAGTTGTTAATTGCTACTTTTTTCAAATGTGTATATTTCCAAAAAAAATTATTTTTTTCCAAAAAAGCCAATTTTTCCAAGGCCTGGAAATAAAACGAAAAAAAAAACAGGTTTTTTTCCCAATTTTTTCCGGTTTTTTTAAAACTTTAAAACCCTAGTCCGTGTACATATGTATGATATCATACGTATGCTGTTTGTAAAATATAATTAAGAGTATTCTTTTTTTGAAGAATTTTTAATTCTGTAAAGAATCGTGGAATCATTAAAATGTACAGCATACGTATGCTGTTTGTAAAATAATTTAGAGTATTCTTGTCGTGAAGGATTTTATAATTCTGTTAATAATTATAATGGACTTCTGCGGAAAATTCAGTAGACAGAAAAGTATTTGTAAGTAGGTAATTAAAGTTGTATTAGTTATTTGTACATAAAAATAAAATAGTTTGAAAATTTTTTTTTGGCTTTGTCCCGTATTTTGACATTTTTGATGTGGTCACTTTAGTGTAATGTAAAATGTGAGGAGATTGTAGAATGGCTTGTTTTCCTCGTTAGGTACCTATTATAATACTTGTATTTGTAAGTTATATTAATTGTCTTTTCTTGGCGCCAAAAACATTTCAGAATAGTTTTTTTTTAATGGCGAACGCGTCTTAAATTTATCATGATTTTGGTACTTGGTAAAAATTGGACCTACCTCCTTTAACTTCTCCATTTGTACTGATTGCCGAGAGAGATAAAGTCGTAATTACACAAACCACTGCTGATATACCAATAATTATTAAAGATTGAGCTGAAACAAAAATCTACATTAATATATTAAAATCATATATGATACTTTTATAGCAAAAAACAATTTATACATTTTCAGCATTTTAAAAGCTTTAAAAATGTTGATATTTCAAGTGTATGGACATCTTTAGAAATACCATGGTAAGCTAATACCCACCAAGAGTAGGTATTTCCAGTTCAAACTGGATAAATCCAAGATACCATGACACTAATTTGCCCTTAAAAGCACGCAAGTCGTAAACCCAAAAAAATCAAAAGTTCATTATAACTAAGATAACATCATAATTATAATTTTTCATTGCTTAGGATCCCAGTGGCGGCTCGTCGGGGTAGGCAAGGTAGGCGCCGCCTACCCTGGAAATATGAATGTAAAATAATAAATATAAGTAATTTAACATTAATAAAATTACCAAATTTAATTTTAATTCATAAATCTTATTTATCGCAAATAAAACCTTTTATTGAATTGTTGCGTGATGCGTCATGACGAAAGTAGCTAGTTCACACCTTTATCTATGCTCTAAATCAGCATCTAAGGCAAGCAAAGGCGGCTATCCCAAGCGCCTATTTATTTGATTCTTTCACGTCAACCAAGTGAAGAACGCTATACCGCTGACCAATAGAAACGCCGTTGACGTATGGTAAAATTGCGATGGATAGGCGACACGATTGTTCGCCTTCTGCTAATCCGAAAGCCGATTCGGCTTCCGATTTGTTTTTGCCAGTAAGTTATTTTTTTAAGCCGGTAATCGATAAAATGATCGATCTCAATTCAAGAGGTTCAGAATATAATATGAATTTAATATTAAAAGTCCTGTAAATAACATCATTTGCAAGAATATATTAATATAATAAATAATTAATTTAAAATAGTGACATCTGTTGAGATAAATTCGAACGATAAAGGGCTTTTAAGCAGATTTCTTTTACATTTTAGTTATGTCAATTTAATTGACTCAATTAGATGTTTTTGAGTTTTAAGCCAAATTCACTTTATTTTTGTGACTGTGTCAGGAAATTAATTACCCGCTAAGTATTACTGTATCATTATTTATTATTATTTGTTAGTATTAGAATTAGGTACCTACTCCCTAATAGGTAGGTAGTATTAGCGTTGATTATTAGCCTTGTTTAATAAACAAGGGTATTATTTTGCAATAATGGAGGGCCCATTTCATGACATTATTTGCTCATTACTTGAAAATCCATGTTCTCGCCTTAATGAAAACGATCGAAAAGATGATATGATTAATGATCGCCCTATTCCACATCTAAATCTTTTCTCGATCGTTTAAAAAGCAATGGTATGAGAATCATCGATGGTTATGTGGTAGTTTTTTTAAACAGAGTTTGTTTTGTTGGCCGTCGCCTACCCCAGCGCGGAAGGCACGAGCCGCCACTGTAGGATCCGTAACCGAACAAGAATAGGTATACTTTAGTTTATTATTCTTATTTTGTGCATTCACAGTATTAAAATTGCATAATTTATAAAATTTTATTGTAATACTTTTTATCAAAAAAAGCAAAAACTTAAAATGAAATTAAGTTGAGTTGACGAAGAAAAATTATTTTGTATAATAAAAAATAAGCCTATTTTAATTTTATGAAAATTAATTAAAAAAATATTTACTAAAACATTATATTTACAATCGGAAAAAATTAGTAATCGATAGAACTAAGAAGAAAAGTTTATATAAACTATGTTTTAAAGCTAAATATTTCCTGGAAAAATTATGAAAACAAATTTATTTTTTTCCTTGAAAATTAAGTCAAATAGCGAAAAAAGAATTGTTTTTAATTCCTTAATCTAAATGAGGAGGTCCACTCCAAAACTCGGCTTATCCACTTTTTAATACACATGAGTTAGTAGTGGTGTCTGTACATTTAACATGAAAAATTTAATTTTAAATTATTTTAAATTGTTAGTACTCACGTGTAAGGTTTTTGACATTTTGCTCAAAAACAACTAATATGTGTTTAATATTATATTTGAGGAGGTGCATTCCAAAACTCGGCTTTACCATATATATGGTAAAGCCGAGTTTTGGAATGCACCTCCTCAAATATAATATTAAACACATAAAAAGCAGATAACCATACTCTTTTAAAATAAATTTTTTTACTAACAAAATAGTCGTTTTCACTTTTAAATAGTTATTTTTTACTACTTAAATAGTTATAACATAAATTTTTTTACTAACAAAATAGTCGTTTTCACTTTTAAATAGTTATAACTATTTAAGTAGTAAAAAATAACTATTTAAAAGTGAAAACGACTATTTTGTTAGTAAAAAATTTTATTTTAAGAGAGTATGGTTATCTGCTTTTTATGTGTTTAATATTATATTTGAGGAGGTGCATTCCAAAACTCGGCTTTACCATATTAGTTGTTCTTGACTAATTTAAGATTAGTAAACATTTTTGACTATTTCTGGGAGTTAAAAGTAATTAATTTCTTTAATCCTTTGCGGCTAACAACAAATTATTGTTTGAGTATAGGCTCCATGGTTAAATGGCCCCTAAAAGCAAACAAAGATCCAAAAAGTTTAGCTCAAAACAGCAACACAAAAAATATATTCAACTTTAAAATAATATGAGCAATACTGCCCTACTAGGGAGAAAGGCAGTAACTGCTAAACAAGAAATTTGTGGAAAATTAGCATAAACTACATTTTTATAAAAAGCAGTCGATATTTAATTGATTTTTTTAACTTATGAGATATTTGACGGCATTTCTGTGTTGAAATCGGTTACAAAATGTCCATAGCTTTATCATAGCACAAGAAAACGCATTTTGCATATTTTTGCAGTTACTGCCTTTCTCCATAGTACACTGAAAGAAATATATACTAAAGTTAAATAAAAAAATAATTAGGGCAAATATATTTTATGTTTCATATATGGACTACCACATACATTGCTAAAACAAATATATTCGTTTGGTTAACAGCCTATTGCTGCCCTAGCAATATAAATGGTGTTTCTAGCAATATTTTTTTGCTGTAATTCACTTATAGTTTACATTTTATAGTAAGGGTAAGTTTATTTTTATTTAGATCTAACATATCTTCTTTACAATAAATGTATTAAAAAATTTAACATACATTCATAATAAACAGTAGTATAAATGTGTAAAGCACTAGTATAAAATTTTTAGTATAAATTTGTATTTACTTTTAGCAACAAATTTCTTTCAGTGTAGGGCAGAATATTTATACTCTCTTAAAATGAATTAGTCAAAAATAACTAATTATAATTCATATTTGACTAATTGTCATAGGGAAAAAACTGTCACTAATATAATGAGTCAAATTTTTCTGAATGAAATAGTCAAATTAGTAGATTTAAATTTAAAAAAAGTTTTAACCCAGCCGCGGATTAAACTCAGGCCCGTCACTTGTCAAGCTGTTGTCATAACCCATTCGGCCATCAGCCGCTCTCATAAAAATCAATTTTATTTGTCAATAAATATTGTTCATATTATTTTAGTTGAATATATTATTTGTGTTGCTGTTTTGAGCTAACCTTTTTGCATCTTTGTTTGATTTTATGGGTCATTTAACCATGGAGCTTAAGTATGTATATTAGGGTGGGTTAAAAAAACCGACTATTTTTTTTTACTTTGTACTCTGAAAAATCGGTTACTAGACAACTCTAGAGAATTATCACCAAACATGAGCTCTTAATTTTGATAACAAGGTCCTCCGCTTTACAATTTTCCATTTTTTCCTCAGTATTAGAAACAAAAATTTATATCTCTTCGACAACTGTTCGTTAAAAAATAACTCTCATCATATTCTATAAGAGTTACTTTTACGATAGAAACTCAAATTTGTATAAATTTTCGTAAAACTCAAAAATTAAATTGAAATTTTTCGAATTATTCATCAAAAACTGTTAAAATTAGTATGCATTGAAGTTTGAGATCTTTTAAACGCTTAATTTAATCGACAAATCATAAGAGACCATTTTTGTAGAGCAGTTAATTTCCTACAAAACTATGATTGCGCGATTCATAAAACTTTTTTGTAAGCGAGTTATAAAATTCATAAGCAAAGCAGAAATTTCTCTTAAAATAATTCAACGATATCTTTTTAACGGTGAGGTTTACGAAAAAATTGTAAGAGACCTTTTTTGTAGAGCATTCGATTTCCTACAAGAATATGAGGAGAGTTATTTTTTAACGAACAGTTGTCGAAGAGATATAAATTTTTGTTTCTAATACTGAGGAAAAAATGGAAAATTGTAAAGCGGAGGTCGGTTTTTTTGACCCACCCTAATGTATATGCTTTTAATTTAAATAATGCTTTGTTGTTCGCCGCAAACGATTAAAGAAATTAGTTACTTTTAACTCTCAGAAATAGTCAGAGAGATCTTAAATTAGTCAAACTTTATAAAGTAACTATTTACGTAGTAAAAAATAACTATTTAAAAGTGAAAACGACTATTTCATTAGTAAAAAATGCTGGTACTAATTCAAATAGTAGAATTTTAACCATGGGCGCCGGAAGGAATTCGTCTAGGGGGGGGGCCTTAAAGTTTTTTACAATTTTGATAGATGTTATTTATAATCAAGTTGTACTGTAGAAGTTTACATTAAATATTGAGTCAAATAAAATATCATCTTTATACAGGGTGTCCCAAAAATCAACGAGATCCTTTGGAGGACTGATAGACCAACTCATGACAAAGCAGAAAATCAAAATATGACCTTAGTAAAAAATCGTTAGTTTCTGACATTTTATGAATTTTGTAAAACTTGACACTAGATTAGTTTTTCGAGTACTACAGCCACAAAATCTGCTATTAATTTAATTTTGAATTGTAATTAATAGGTCCTATTCAGGGTTTTTGTGTCAAGTTTCACAAAATTCATAAAAATGCCAATATCTTAAAAACTAATGATTTTTTACCAAGGTCATGTTTTGATATTCTGATTAGTCAAGAGCTGACCTAAAAATGCCAATATCTTAAAAACTAATGATTTTTTACCAAGGTCATGTTTTGATATTCTGATTAGTCAAGAGCTGACCTATGAGTCCTTCAAAGGATATCGTTGACTTTTGAGACACCCTGTATGTATATTTGTAAATTTGACACAATTGTATATTATTAATATATTAGCGCCATCTGTAGGCTTATGAAGAAATCTATTCTATAGTCGACTTTTTCAACATATATAGTTCGTATATAGAAATATGTCAGCCAAGAGCGTCTTACTCAGGGATGGGCAAGATCCGACAAAAAGGATTTAAATCTAAATCCATAAATCCACACCATAAACTGGATCTAAATTCTCAATCATAAATCCATTACGTTATCTGGATTTAAATCCTGAATCCATAATTAAATCCTCTATTTTTTAAATATTTATTTCATTAATTTTCCAAGAACAGTTTCCGGATTATTTCAATTTTTAAGTTTTATTTAAGCTAAAACCCCTTGGATTCCAAATCAAAATTGATATGAACCTTATTGCACGTATATAAGATTCCATCGAATATCTTTCGAATATGATGATAGATATAATGATCTGTGGCTTCTGGTTTCTTCGCCATAGGATTATGAACGGAATCAGTAAACTGTGCTTCTGATTTCTTTGAACAGCCAGGCATTTCATTCATTTTACAACAGTAACAACACTAGTGTTCATTAAGACGGCACAAATCTTAAATTATCTAAGATAACAAATCTAATTTATCTAAAAAATAATGAACAAATGATAACGATCAGCACTTACCGTCAAATTATGGAGTACCGGAATTTCAGGGTATGAATTTCCAGGGGGGGGCCCGGGCCCCCCCCTGCCCCTATGTAGCGGCGCCCATGATTTTGACTATTTCATTTTTAGAGAGTAGAGAAATAAAATTGACTCTTATAAAAGTGACTGATGGCTCATTGGTTATGACAAGCAACAGACCCGAGTTCAAACTAATTTGACTATTTAATTCAGTAGAATTTGACTAATAATTATTAGTCTTTTTAGGCTTTTTAGCTATGACAATTTGTCAAATATGACTTTGCTTTTTGACCATACTGTATAAAATTGTATTACAAAATTATCGTTTTAGGGGTCTTTTGGTATGCCAAATACAGAAACGCAATCTGTTTTTATATTTAAAAAATGACTAATAACTTTTGACGTTTTTAAAGACATTAATCATAGAGGGCCATAGAAATTATGGAAATTTTTTTCTTCAAAAGATATGTACATAGATCTTAATTCTAATACTTAATTTGTCAACAAAGAACTTATACGTTCTAAGCTAAACTTTTTTTGTGTCCTAGGTAGTAAAAATATATTTAACATACCTATACCCGCTTCAGCCACCACCCAAGACAATCTTAAAAAAAGCATAACCCCCCATATGTTCAGCAAGCATGGAATCAAGACACCTTGAATCCATCCCAATTTGATACCCACGTGTCCTGGTGGAGAAGACTCATTGTCGTCTTCTGCATTTTTGGCGTCCTGAAAGAATAGTAGTAAGAATAGTACCTTAACGATGTAATTTATAAATATGTTAGGTATGGCTTGATTAATGTCATTTTTTTCATTTTAATTAAAAGTTAAACCTCATAATAAACGTGTTGTTATATAATTTAAAAATAAGTATACACTATACAATTTATTATTTATCGAAATAATATCGGCAATGAAAAAAATGACATTGAATTGGGTGTTGAAATAGAGTTTTTTGCATGCTTATATCTATTATAATAATAATAATAATTGTTATTATTATGATACCAGGAAAAATCAGGTAAATCTTAAAATAATTATGTATGGATGTCCCATGTTCTAATTATAATAATTATGAACAATTAACTATTGTTTCCGCCTTTTCGATGTAAAATACCTTTGGGTTTTAACAATTTAAAGTATAAGCAATATCTAATTTATTTAAAACGACGAGATAAGGAATAGATACCTGCCCATTAAAAATGCTACTTTTTATGACGCATATGCATAAATAAACAGTTTTCCCGAGACTTTTTTAAATATAGGTTTTTGTTCTAATAATTATTTATTATTTTTACATTAAATTTGCATTTTTACTAGGTTATACATAATATATTAATTTAATTAGGTAAACAAACAATAAAGAATAACAAAAAGCATGCAGACATACAGTATAGGAATTTAATATTATTATTATAAACTTGCTAATGAAATCTTTGAAACCCGTTAAATGATTTTTATTTCCACCTTCTTAGTAAATGACATTTTATAGGTTAATTTTGTTGTTTTTGTATCCAAGTAAACGATACATTATGGGAACAGACCTGTAATATTTTACGGGCTTGTATAAAAGACCTGTAAAGTTTTACAGACTTGTAGAAAAGCAATTAATGAAATTAAATGTCACATTTGACATATTAATTAAAATTTTAAAATTAAAAATCGTTATCTAAAGGTGAAAATAAAAGTTTGGAGGGTAACGTAGGCTCTTTTTTTTTCCTTTTTTATTTATTTTTTGCTTTCTTTTTTCCCTTAAACTCACAGAACCTAAGAATTTGTTTGCAACGTTGCCAAATTTCCTAAAATTCCCAGAATCTGGGTTTTTGTTTTTTGCGGTGTTGCCTAATTTCCAAAAAAATCCCCGAAACTGGAAATTTTTCAAACTCTTTAGGATACGTTAAGTAAGTCATCTTGCACTATTCAGCGGTGTTTTCAAATTTATACAGGGTGTCCCAAAAGTCAACGATATCCTTTGAAGGACTAATAGGTCAGCTCATGACTAATCAGAAAATCAAAACATGACCTTGGTAAAAAATCATTAGTTTTTAAGATAGTGGCATTTGTATGAATTTTGTGAAACTTGACACATAAAATCAGTTTTTCGAGTGCCATAACTACAACATTCTATATTCTTATATTATATTTTATTTTGCGTAATCCTGAATGACTGCTATTAATTACAATTCAAAATTAAATTAATAGATGTAGCTGTGGCACTCGAAAAACTGATCTAAGGTGTAAATTTTTACAAAATTTATAAAAATTACTGTTTTTTAAAAACTAAGATTTTTTACTAAGGTCATATTTTGATTTTCTGCTTAGTCATGAGTTGTTCTATCAGTCCTCCAAAGGTCAACGATATCCTTTGGAGAGGACAAATTTTTAAACCTTATAAATAAAAAACTATTCGTCCATAAATTTGTTAGAATTTTTTAACACCTATTTATAAATTGCCATTTCTATCACGGGGTGATAAATGTGTATGATTACATGTGAAACTTTATTTTCTACAAATTTCCAGGAATAACGAATTTTCGTTTTGACAGGTTTTCATTTTTTTTTCAATCATTAGAGAACCGATACTTGGGTATATAACTATAATAGTTATTAGTTATATTTTTGTTAATTTTGTTTTAAATGTGCTTAAAATTGAACCATAAATTCCATTTGTTCTTCGAACTAAAATTATAACTGCGCTTTCATAAAAATTATAATCCCCAACAATTTTACAAAACAAACAAGTTACAGAATTTTGGAGAGAATTTTAAAACTATTAAAATTTTCTTTATTTATTTCGTATGCAATTTTTGCAACCTTTGCATGTAAATTTTAATATATTTCAGCTTAATTTGAGCTAGATAGCTTTCCTAGTAAATAATAATTATAATTAAAATAAAATATTTAAGTAGATAATTCATCAAAAATTTAATTTTAATTGCGGCATTGTCATTTTACAAAAATAAACCTTTGTTTATATCAATTATAAATAAAAACATAAGTGGTTTGATTTAATCAGTAAAACTAATAGAAACAATATACCTATATACAACGGACAATTTAATAGAGGTTGTTAATCTTACACTTTTTTTTAAATAATAGTTATTTACGTATTAAGGCAGTGAAGTCGTATTTTTTATTGTATTTAATAAATGACTTTAATGCCGAGGTGCATATTAAATTTTATCCGAAATCACATCTAATAATTGAAGGGGTTAGAATAAAAAGGGTATAAGTAACATTTTCATTTTTTGGAGATATTTGAAGTTAAAGTTATGTTACCATAAAAAAGTGAAGAATTTTGTTTAGTAATGTTTTTCTACTGGATAATAGAGGTCCCTAGAAGTATGAAAATTACTTAAATCCTTTTCATTTCGATACGTCGGAACCTTATCTTTCACAAAACGAACTTATCTCCTAAATTAAAGAAATTGCACTTATACCCTTTCTATTCTAACCCCTTCAATTAATATTGATGATTAAATCAATTGTCATTTGATGATCAAATCAAATGTCAATTGAATGTAAGAAGTGTTTACGTATACTGTTTGTTGCTAATTAATAAAATTTACTTAACATTTTTATTAAACAACATTTTATGAAAGAGTCCAATCGACGTCCGCGACATCTTAAAATGTATAATGGGTTGCATACAATACTCGCATTAAATCGGCAGTAAAGTTCACTTTACTGCCGATTTCTTTTACTTTACTGCCGATTTCGGATAAATATATTTTATTTGAGCTTTTGTTTTTGAATTATATACAGTGTGACCCATTTGCGACTCACCCCTGTAAAATCTTTATTTATTGTGCGATTTTAACCTGATTTGATTTAAAGTGTAGATATTGATAAACTGTATTTTTGGAGCAAAAAACTCCATATTTTTACAAAATAGGTAAGTTTTTGAGAGTACATTTTTAAGAATTCATATTAGCGATTTAAAAAAAATACGCACTGGATTCACCACCTTTCAAAATGATCCTATACTACATTTTATTGAAAATTTTTATGTATACTTTCCTATAGAAACGATTTTGTAGCTAAATTAAAAATGCACAATTACGATTAATTACGATTTACAAAAATTTATTCTGTCAAGTTATCCATGAAAAAAACATTGAATTAAAATTAAACTAAAAGTAACAGGGTAGAATGTATTAATGGTTTTCCGGGATTTGCTCCGTGTTGTCGGTTTTTGGTTCTTAAAAGAACCGTATGTCAGACAACGTTTCGGTACCATCTTCAGGTCTTATGTGCTGAGCTGCTATTGCTGCTCTGCTTCGAGTTAGACGTGTAGTGTCCACTAAATACGTATACATTAGGGTGTTTCAAAATAAGGCAATATTTTTCCTTTTTCAAATTCATGTGAAATTCTCATCACTCATGCTAAAAAAAAATTCTGTCAAAATTTGAGCTCTTAATATTAATTTTAATTTGTCCTTCATCGAATTTAAAGTTTTCCCATTGATTTTACATAGAAAAATAGTTTTTTAAGATTTATTTCACCTGCATGCTATATAGAACTATTTTTTTGATATACAATCACTGGTCCTTTTTTAGCATTAAATTATCTACAAAAAATCTTACAAAGTCTAGTTTGTAGATTTAACTCTTTCTACTTTATTAACGTTGAAACGTATACATTCTAAAAAAAATGATATTTTTACATTTAGCGGCTAAAGTACTAATCGTAGAAAAAAAAGTTAATTAGCAATTTTGAAGATCTTTTAATGCTCTTCAAGTTTGTTTTAAACAATTTTTTATTATCACCTACAGTTCAAGAGTTATAAGTATTTAAAATCTTATTTTTATTATTCTGCATAATATATTATTTTAATATTCACTGTAAGAAAAACGTTTAGGGACAATTTTGCAGGATACTCGAAGCTCTATAAATAACGTACCAAGATTCTTCAATACACTCAATTAATCGGTAAAATAGCTTAACTTTTATGATATTCTTTATTTCATGATCCAGATTTTGACTACAAATAAAATTTTATACTTCGCTTCAAAACAGTTTTGAAATACTAAAAATAATTTTTAAGGTTTATGGTGAATAGCAACCAACAACTTTTTAATAGTAATTTAGGTACGCTGAATCCAAAAATGAACATCATTTTTCTCAATCAGCTCTTGTTTTTGCGATGTAGACTAAAAAACATTTTTTTCGATATTGCATTGAAATTTTAACACAATAAAGTAGATAAATAGAGCTACAAATAGGGTAAATTTTATTTAAATCGGGCAAAAATTGATCATGCTGTATCACTTTAAATTTTAAAAATATCCGATTTTCTTTCGATGAAAGCAAGGTTTTTAAAGAGAATACCATTATCAATGTATATGGTATTTTTTTCAGTTTAATAAAGACCCTGCACCAAAATGGCTGTCGTTATGCATAATCATAAAAATAGGATATTAGACACTTTTGAACTGTAGGTGATAAAAAAATTGTTCAGAACGAATTTGTAGAACATTAAAAGATCTTCAAAATTGCTAATCGACTTTTTTCTACGATTAGTATTTAGCATCTAAATGTAAAAATATCAAATTTGTTTAGAATTTATACGTTTCAACGTTAATAAAAAAGAAACACTTGAATCTACAGACTGGACTCAGTAAGATTTTTTGTAGATAATTTAATGCTAAAAAAGGACCAGTGATTGCTTATCAAAAAAGAAAGTTGTACATAGTATGCAGGCGAAATAAATCTTAAAAAACTATTT